GATGTTGTTCCAGAACTGTGAAGGCTTTTTTACATGTCGTTTGGCAAACTCTAATCTGGCCTTCCTGTTTTTGAGGCTCACCAATGGTTTACATCTTGTGGTGAACCCTCTGTATTCACTCTGGTGAAGTCTTCTCTTGATTGGTGACTTTGACACCCATACACCTACCTCCTGGAGAGTGTTCTTGATCTGGCCAACTGTTGTGAAGGGTGTTTTCTTCACCAGGGAAAGAATTCTTCGCTCCTCCACCACAGTTGTTTTCCGTGGTCTTCCGGGTCTTTTGGTGTTGCTGAGCTCACCGGTGCGTTCCTTCTTTTTTAAGAATGTTCCTAACAGTTGTTTTGGCCACACCTAATGTTTTTGCTATCTCTCTGATGGGTTTGTTTTGTTTTTTCAGCCTAATGATGGCCTGATAGTGACAGCTCTTTGGATCTCATCTTGAGAGTTGACAGCAACAGATTCCAAATGCAAGTAGCACACTTGAAATGAACATCTGGATCTTTTATCTGCTCATTGTAATTGGGATAAAAGGGAATAACGCACACCTGGCCATGGAACAGCTGAGAAGCCAATTGTCCCATTACTTTTGGTCCCTTAACAAGTGGGAGGCACATATGCAAACTGTTGTAATTCTACACCGTTCACCTGATTTGGATGTTAATACCCTCAAATTAAATCTGACAGTCTGCAGTTAAAGCCCATCTTGTTTGTTTCATTTCAAATCCATTGGGGTGGTGTATAGAGCCAAAATGTTAGAATTGTGTCGATGTCCTAATATTTATGGACCTGACTGTATATATGTAAATTGACAATGCTATATAAGTACCTGAAAAAATAATAAAGCACATGGCAGCAACTCAATGCCTTTAGGCCTGTAGACGTGATGAAGAACGGCTGAATTTCAAACTGAGCATCAGGACTAGGGGAAGAAAGGGAATTGAAGTGACTGAGCATGTGACATGGTTCATGGTGCCAGACAGGCTGGTCTGAGTATTTAAAAAACTGCTGATCTTCTTGGATTTTCAAGCACAACCATCTCTAAACAGAGAATGGTCAGAAAAAGTGAAAATATCCCAGTAAGTGGCAGTTATTCATGTCAGACGTCAGAGAAGAAAGGGCAGACTGGTTGCTGCGACATTCAGATGGTAGGGTCAGAATTTGGCGTAAACAACATGAAAGCATGGACCCCATCCTTTCTTGGCAATAGCAAGGTGTAGCTAATAAAGTGGCCAGTGAGTGTATATTGAGGAAGAGTGGAACCCCAACACTGAGCTTAACATGGCTTTATAAACAACAAAGGGACCTGGTTGTGGTCCTAGGTTGCTGCCTTTCTGACCATGGTAGATGGATCGTTCATCAGATGACCTTCTTGGGTGTGGGGTTAGGAGCCCCTCTTTAGTTGGGAACATGACATTCTATATGGAGGAAGAGTGGAACCCCAACACTAAGCCTAACATGACAAAAATGGGACATCGTTGTGGTCCTAGGCTGCCGACTTTCTGATTGAGGTGGATGGAATGCCTGGGGTGAATGGGGTGCCTTGAGGCTTCTTCAGGGGTGCCTTGGCAAAATGTCTAAAAATTGCCCAAAACTTATATACAAGGCAGTGGGTGGAACAAGTCTGCCTTTTAGTTACACAAAGCCACAGGTTTTCATTGTGCACCATTACGACCTTTTAACTACCGGTGTTCCTGACTACCAATGACATCATTAGTTGATAAGAAGGATGTTAGTTGCCTACACAGCATCCTAGTTTGACCCTCCCCTGCTCCTCTCCATCAGTGCTGGGGTCACATTAGCTCAGTGATGGAGAAAAACTGAGGGAGAAGAGAAACACTGGATACTAGTCGGTACCAGTGAGCAAAAATGTATTTAATGTATAAATCACCTCTAATGTTGGGTGTCCTACATGTGTGGATGTTGCTGCGTTATATAGAACTTTTAGAATAGTTTTTCACATTTTAGAATGGGGCACCTCAAGACTGTCCATAATTTTAAAGGGTGCCTTGACTGAAAAAAGGTTGAGAAACACTGATGTAGCCTAATGATTTGTTTACAATCTTTATTGGTGAAGAACATCAAGTACAGTGGTTGCTTTTCAGGGAACTGCGTCCCCTCTTCCTCGGGACTAACAGGGAGGCCTTTCTCCTGAAACCCTTGGGCTGTACTTGATGTTCTTAACAAAGATTGTTCTTAGCTAAGAGCAGATCATCTGATGAACGCTCCATCCATCGTGATCTGAGAGTCAGCAGCCTAGGACCACAACCACATCCCCTGTTTGATAAAGCCATATATGGGTTAGGCTTCGTGTTGGGATTCTACACTTCCTCAATATATAATGTCATGTCCCGAATGGAAGGGGGGGCTCCGTCTCCACAAACAAGAACAGGTCATCTGATGATTCATCCATCCATCGTGATCAGAGAAGCAGCGGCCTAGGACCACAACCAGGTCCCTTTCTTGATAAATCCATATTAGGGTTAGGCTTCGTGTTGGGATTCTACACTTCCTCAATATAGAATGTCATGTCCCAAATGAAAGGGGGGGCTCCGTCTCCACAAACAAAAACAGGTCATCTGATGAACGTTCCATCCATCGTGATCTGAGAGTCAGCAGCCTAGGACCACAACCAGGTCCCTTTCTTGATAAAGCCATATTAGGGGTTAGGCTTCGTGTTGGGATTCTACACTTCCTCAATATATAATGTCATGTCCCAAATGAAAGGGGGGGCTCCGTCTCCACAAACAAGAACGGGTCATCTGATGATTCATCCATCCACCATGATCAGAGAAGCAGCGGCCTAGGACCACAACCAGGTCCCTTTCTTTATAAAGTCATATTAGGGTTAGGCTTCGTGTTGGGATTCCACACTTCCTCAATATATAATGTCATGTCCCGAATGGAAGGGGGGGCTCCATCTCCACAAACAAAAACAGGTCATCTGATGAACGTTCCATCCATTGTGATCTGAGAAGCAGCAGCCTAGGACCACAACCAGGTCCCTTTCTTGATATTTTAGGGTTAGGCGATCCACTCCTCCTCAATATATGACCTTTTTTTCCATACAAGAATCAGTCTAGCGTAGTTTTAAAGCAGCTTCTGTGGCCCCCAGGAGCCAATTAATGCCGATGCAACCTTAAAGTTCATGTAAACCCTAACAATGAACTTTTTATTTGCAACATTCTTAAATGTGTCCCTCCCTTACGGCATACAGATTCGGATCTGCAATCTGGGCGCTTACAGGTGGTGAGGAGGTGTTGTATCACCTTCACTGCCTGCATTAAGGCTCGGTTCACACCTATGCCGTTTGCGTTTGATCAGTTTCTGCACTGCTTTTTTGCGGTGCATTTTTTGCTGCGTTTTATTTTTACATTATTTTTTTTTCTTGTTGCTAGGCAAATTAAAATGCAAAAAAAAAAAAAAAGCACTACAAGCTTTTCTGCAGCTTCTCCATTGAAGTCTATAGAACCAAAAACGCAGTTTTTTTTGCGTCTAAAAAAAAAAAGTCCCTGACCCTTTCCAAAAAATGGAGATGTGTCCTATAGGAAATCATGGTAAATGAACTGTTGTGCGTTTCTGGAAAAAGCTGCGGAAAATGCTTAGGTGTGAACACAGGGTAACCCCCCTTGATCAGCGCACCACAACCACAAGCGTGGCACACGCAGAGCAGCCCCATTCATTTGAACAGGTTGTGCTTGGCAGATGCGACACCCGCTAAAGACAATGGAGTGTAATTCCTCCTGCAGCTGCCTAGTAAAACATAAAAAAAAACTAGGCTCAACCGCTGGGGTTTACCACCCCTCAACCACCGGTGTGAATGAGCCCTAACTGCCACTTTTACTTGACAGATTGACCTGTTAAAGGGAGACTTGAAACAACAATAACTGCCCTATAAATGTTATTGACAGACTGCATAGTATGTGTCATTTTTTTTTGTTTAGCCCCGAGGCCCACTTACAAATCTTTGGCATTTAGAGGTATCCTAGCAATTCCAGCCTGGAATAGGAAAGTGCCTCTTAATAGACGCAGACTGTGCCGAGGTTTTATGAGCTGCATCAATTGTTAACAAAACCGGAGTTTTCCTTTAGGCAGAGTTCTCTGCTATAGACTTTACTGTGCTGTATATTTGGTGCATTTCCAGCAAGCGCGCAGTGATGATTAGTAGAGCGTGTCAACTGGGTACAACAATGGATCAAAAATGCAGCACAATGCATACAAAAGCACTGGAATAAATGGGCGTTAAATCCTCCCTCCGGCCTCCCTTCAGTCCAGGTGTACTGGCTCCTCCCTTCAGTCTTGCACAGTTGTGGCTCCTCCCCTTCACTGGCTCCTCCCCTTCAGTCTTGCACAGTTGTCCTGGCTCCTCCCCTTCAGTCTTGCACAGGTGTACTGGCTCCTCCCCTTCAGTCTTGCACAGGTGTACCGGCTCCTCCCCTTCAGTCTTGCACAGTTGTACCGGCTCCTCCCCTTCAGTCTTGCACAGGTGTACTGGCTCCTCCCCTTCAGTCTTGCACAGGTGTAGCGGCTCCTCCCCTTCAGTCTTGCACAGGTGTAGCGGCTCCTCCCCTTCAGTCTTGCACAGGTGTAGTGGCTCCTCCCCTTCAGTCTTGCACAGGTGTAGCGGCTCCTCCCCTTCAGTCTTGCACAGGCGTAGCGGCTCCTCCCCTTCAGTCTTGCACTGGTCCTCCCCTTAGCGGCGGCTCCTCCCCTTCCTGCAGTCCTTTCAGCACAGGTGTAGCGGCTCCTCCCCTTCAGTCTTGCACAGGTGTAGCGGCTCCTCCCCTTCAGTCCTGCACAGGTGTAGCGGCTCCTCCCCTTCAGTCCTGCACAGGTGTAGCGGCTCCTCCCCTTCAGTCCTGCACAGGTGTAGCGGCTCCTCCCCAGTCCTGCACAGGTGTAGTCCCCTGCACAGGTGTAGCGGCTCCTCCCCTTCAGTCCTGCACAGGTGTAGCGGCTCCTCCCCTTCAGTCCTGCACAGGTGTAGCGGCTCCTCCCCTTCAGTCCTGCACAGGTGTAGCGGCTCCTCCCCTTCAGTCCTGCACAGGTGTAGCGGCTCCTCCCCTTCAGTCTGCACAGGTGTAGCGGCTCCTCCCCTTCAGTCCTGCACAGGTGTAGCGGCTCCTCCCCTTCAGTCCTGCACAGGTGTAGCGGCTCCTCCCCTTCAGTCCTGCACAGGTGTAGCGGCTCCTCCCCTTCAGTCCTGCACAGGTGTAGCGGCTCCTCCCCTTCAGTCCTGCACAGGTGTAGCGGCTCCTCCCCTTCAGTCCTGCACAGGTGTAGCGGCTCCTCCCCTTCAGTCCTGCACAGGTGTAGCGGCTCCTCCCCTTCAGTCCTGCACAGGTGTAGCGGCTCCTCCCCTTCAGTCCTGCACAGGTGTAGCGGCTCCTCCCCTTCAGTCTGCACAGGTGTAGCGGCTCCCCTCCCCTTCAGTCTTGCACAGGTGTAGCGGCTCCTCCCCTTCAGTCTTGCACAGGTGTAGCGGCTCCTCCCCTTCAGTCTTGCACAGGTTGTAGCGGCTCCTCCCCTTCAGTCTTGCACAGGTGTAGCGGCTGTCTTGCACAGGTGTAGCGGCTCCTCTCCTGGACTGAAATGGCTTACTCTGCTGTCACTGCACACTGTGAGCTTCTCACAATGCGCATTAGAGGCTGCAGCAAGTCAGATAGATCCCGCCTCATTTCGCTTGGATTCACTGGATTTTTGTTCTTTCAATCATGGGCTCAGCATCACGGGTGCCAACGCCCACTGCCCCAAACTGACACCCACCCATCAACACATTTTGATATTTGCATAATTCCTCCTACTGCTCTGATGTTTTCAGGAAGCTATCTATGTACAGCACCCTGCTGGCCCCTCCCACCAGTTATGGTCTACCTGCATTGCATAGAGAAACACAGAGACCCAGTGATGATATCACTGGATCTGAAATAAGATAGTTAATGAAAACATTTTATTAATGTTGATTACACGGGGTGGGGGTGGGGTCATAAACAGGGAAGGCCAATTATAACAGGGTATACTTCAGCTTTAAGAACAAAAGCCTATATTTGTTAAAAGTCGAGCTCGGGGAGGAAGCGTCTTTTTCTATCTTGTTGTGTTTCATGGAATTATTGTCCTCTGTTCTCCATCCTCCCGTACATGAGGACGGAAGATTAGAAAAGTCAGAACAAGACAAGGATTGTCAGAGTAAAGGTTACGGAAATGTTGTTTTTGCTGCAGCCGGCAGACACCGCAGTACAATGAGCGTCTCTTCGCTCCTCCAATTCTTCTTCACAATACAACAACTTCTATTACCGGTAATGTCACGGCGTCTGGGGGCCGCGGTGGCACGTCCTCGCTTTTTTTTGGGTCCGTTTCACAGATTGGAACAATCCTGCTGTGTGTAGTTGCAATGTAGTTCGATGACGTTTGTTTCTCGCTATCGGCGGTAGTTGAATGACACCCAGAGAGGGCAACTCCATTAAATATGTCTGCACTATCTTCATGAACGAATGACTGGACAGACAGACTGACAAGGCAGGGCTCCTAAAGAGAACCGGCCATGAGTGGCTTAACCATTTTTGCTTTTTTTTTTTTTTTTTTTTTTTTGCACACACATGTTAAAATGCACATTTTAGGCCTGGTGTTTTAAAACCCCCAAACATGATATATTTTTTGAACTCTGGAGAATAAAATGAAGGCAATTAATTTTACATTACATGACATAAGTGCAATGGTATATTAAACCCACATTTTCAGTAAAAAATGCATTAATGGTAATTTTAGTGCACAGAAACGTAATATATTATCATGTTTGTTCGGTAAAATATAGAATATTTGGGCTGTGTCGAGTCGATAGACACCAAACATGTCAATCCCTAAAACTGAGCATGCCCAGAGGCGGACTGACCCATTTGGAAACTCGGGCACTGCCCGAGGCCTGGGGTCAGTAGGGGGCCCCATGAGATGCCCCTGGTACCTTTTTTTAAATTTGGGCAAGGACACAGGGGCCCTATGATCCCCTATTGCCCAGGGGCCCATGAGCTGTCAGTCCGCCCCTGAGCATGCCAGTAAAATTGTGACAAACTGCAGTACCCTGACTTGTCCTATGCTTTGAAAGTTTTTGCAGGTCATCAGTTTAGAGGTAGCTATGAATGACGACCCCAGAGTTGTTAGGTTCACTTGGATTGTGCAGCATTACCTAATATGTGTAAAGGTGCACCCCACGGGTTTTATGTATGTAGTTGTATGTACATGAGGGGCAGGAACTTTAAATGGTTTTTTGTTGTGGTTTTTTTTTTTTTTTTTTCGTAATAATTAAAAAAAAAAAAAAAAAAAAAAAAAAAATTAATGTGTGTGTGTGTGTTGGGTGTATGTATATATATGGGGTGTGTGTGTGGTGTGTATGTATTATATGTTGTGTGTATATATATATAAGTGTGTATGTATATGTATGTAGGTATGTGTGTGTATGTACAGTGGGGATCGAAAGTTTGGGCACCCCAGCTTAAAATTTGTGTATTAATGTGCATAAAGAAAGCCAAGGAAAGATGGAAAAATCTCCAAAAAGGCATCAAATTACAGATTAGACATTCTTATAATATGTCAACAAAAGTTAGATTTTATTTCCATCATTTACACTTTCAAAATAACAGAAAACAACAAAATGGCGTCTGCAAAAGTTTGGGCACCCTGCAGAGTTAATATCTTGTACTGCCCCCTTTGGCAAGTATCACAGCTTGTAAACGCTTTTTGTAGCCAGCCAAGAGTCTTTCAATTCTTGTTTGAGGTATCTTTGCCCATTCTTCCTTACAAAAGTCTTCCAGTTCTTTGAGATTTCTGGCTGTCTGTCACGCACTGCTCTTTTAAGGTCTATCCATAGATTTTCAATTATCTTGAGGTCAGAGATTGTGAAGGCCATGGCAAAACCTTCAGTTTACGCCTCTTGATGTAATCCCCCGTGGATTTCGAGGTGTGTTTTTCAGGATCATTATCCATTTGTAGAAGCCATCCTCTCTCTTTAACTTCAGCTTTTTCACAGATGGCATCAAGTTACCATCCAAAATTTGTTGAAATTTTATTGAATCCATTTTTCCTTCTACTCGTGAGATGTTCCCTGTGCCACTGGCTGCAACACACAACCCCAAAGCATGATTGATCCAACCCCATGCTTAACAGTTGGACAGAGGTTCTTTTCATTAAATTCTGTGCCCCTTCTTCTCCAAACGTACCTTTGCTCATTCCGGCCAAAAGTTCAATTTTAAACCTCATCGGTCCACAGAACTTGTTTCCAAAATGCATCAGCTTGTCTATATGTTCATTTGCAAAGTTCAAACAATGATTTTTGTGGTGAGGACGTAGAAGAGGTTTTCTTCTGATGACTCTTCCATGAAGACCATATTTGTACAAGTATCTCTTTATAGTGGAATAGTGTACCACAACTCCAGCGTCTGCCAACAGATCTTTCTGGAGGGATCGTGCAGTCAAACGTGGGTTTTGAATTGTTTTTCTCACAATCCTGCGAGCTGTTCTGTCTGATATTTTTCTTGGTCTTTCAGATCTTGCTTTAACTTCCACTGTTCCTGATGACTGCCATTTCTTAATTACATTCCGAACAGAGGATATTGACATCTGAAAACGCTTTGCTATCTTCTTATAGGCTTCTCCAGCTTTGTGAGCGTCCACTATTTTTTCAGTTTCAGTTTTCTAGACAACTGCTTAGAAGAACCCATGGTGCTGATTGTTGGGGCAAGGTCAGATGAGTCCGGGCATTTAAAACCTTTGAGATTGACATCACCTGGTCTTCCCCAGACGATGATTGAGAACAATTCATGACACTGGCAGGTCTCAGCTTTGCAAAGGGGGCAGTGCATGCTATAAATTCTGCAGGGTGCCCAAACTTTTGCAGACGCCATTTTTTTGTTTTCTGTTATTTTGAAAGTGTAAATGATGGAAATAAAATCTAACTTTTGTTGACATATTATAAGAATGTCTAATCTGTAATTTGATGCCTTTTGGAGATTTTTCCATCTTTCCTTGGCTTCTTTATGCACATTAATACAACTTTTTAGCTGGGGTGCCCAAACTTTCGATCCCCACTGTATGTATGTATGTATGTATGTATGTGTATATATATATATCTTACTAGTCCATGGAGTCCAGCGTTGTTTGGCTTGAAGGAAAGTTCTCCCTACCCTGCACTTCTCTGGCGTCGCCACCTTGAATTCAAATCTAGCACATGGGCAGACGCACCACAGGTCTTCCCAGTGAACTGCCAGAGACTCCTGCACTGTTTCTGCACATGTACAAAATCCTGTGACATAGATATTTCAGGATGCAGTTTGCAGAATCACACATGTGCAGGGTCTGGGTACGTCACTCTTGTACAGGCGAGAATGATGTACCTGAACTTTAGGGAAAAATGTATGTAATTGCATTTGTGTTTATATTATACTCACTCCGCCACTATAGGATTCATTTTCTGTATTCTGCAAAAAAAAAAAAAAACCTGGTTGATCTTGCTGTTCACTGTCCCTCCCTCCGTGTCTGTGTCCCTGCTTCAGCTTGGGATTGTGTAGACCACCTGTTTGCCACATCTACTGAGCATGCTCCAGTTTCAGTTCCTCTCTATTCTGTTCATTTCCTCCATTTTTTTATCTGTGCAGCCCATGTGACTATCCTGTAGAGACACATGTGGGCATTTACAATCCAGATAAATGACAACTCGCTCCCTCTCTCCTCCTTCATGTCCTCCTATTGTTATTGTGCTTGATCAGCTTCATCCCCAGCCAGTGCTGCTGGGGAGTGGCAATTGTTGAACCCAGTAGTGATGAAATGCTCATTGCTCCTGGGTTCATTCAACAGAGGGCCAATCAGTGAGTGGATATTTGCTGGTCATCTTTTGCTCCACCCACCAACATACTCCCTTCCTGTCCTGGGGCCAAAGGAGGGACAGCCGAGCCAGGAATACAGGTGGGCATTAGCTAGAGTAGTCCTAATGCAAATGCATTCTACATCTGCCCATCAAGGCATTATAGTATTTGCATAACCCTTCCCAAAAGCCAGCCCACTTCTTGCATCAGGGCTGAAGGCTCTTGAGAGGAGTACTGAGGCGGGGTGCTGTGATGTCTTTAGAAAGCTATGTACACATCCTGCTAGCCCCTCCCACCAGCCATGATCTGCCTGCATTGTATAGAGACTCACAGTTACACAGTGTCACTAGTTCCAAAACAGGGTATGTAATGAAAGCGGAAAGGTTGTATTTAATGTTGATGAGGGGGTATTGGAAGAACCAGGGAAAGCAAAATAAAACCAGATTACACTAGTTCTTACAGTATTCTTTGGAAGCCACTCCTCAATGAAAGAAGAAGTTACTTTTGTTGAATAATCTGATGTAACTTTGTTTTTCTCCGGCAGACCATCTTATTGGCTGGGTAATGAGACGCTGAGGGGTACCGGCCGCCCTCTTTGCCCTGAACAGGAAGCGGCTCTGCGATAGACTGCGCAACAACCGCAATGTCCCAAAGGAAGCCGTTCTTCTCCTGCAAGGGGGAGAGGAGACCAATCGATACTGTACTGACACCGGCGTCCTCTTCCGCCAGGTACGACCACCTCTATACACTAATTAATGGGGATAAGGTGGGAGATGGAAAGCTGAGAGGTCTCCAGATCCTTGCTAGAAGGATTTACTGGTACCACACCCCTTATTTGTAAGACACTGCAAATGGAAACCATAACTAAAAAAAGCTAATGGGGTTGTAAAGGTAACATACCATCCAATGAATATGTCTGTTATGTTCCACCATTCTGGTGGCTCCTTTTTATTAACC